CCGATCCCCGCACACCGCAGAAAAAGGCATCAATCGGAGCCGGCTTTCGTAAGTGAATTGTATTTCCGCTTATTATCTTCATTGAAAGTGATGTAATCTGATCCAGTCATGATAATTCACCACATAACGCAATGATGATAATCGTTAAAATGTCGGGTACCCGCAATCGAATAAAGCAAAAACTCCTGTCTGGCTAGAAGCGATGCAATAACACTTGCAGTCTGCTCAAACCATAGCTTGATGATAAATTATGAATCTACTCAGGAATCATTTCACTTAGAAACTATGCATTATGAAACGTTATCAAAAAGTCTAACATTTGATATTGGTTTAAGACTATTGATAGATTGAGAACGTGAAAAGAACTTCAATGCGATATGCAATAAAATTAATTCGAAATCATATGCATTTGCACAATGAAATGAGGAACATGCGATAGAAACAAAATCCTCGTTTCAGACGATTTCAATTCAAACAAAATTTCAATCATCGCGTTTTCAGACGCCGTTGCCGGCAATCACTGAAGAAGAGGAGGAGGAGGAACCGCAGCCAGGCCCGTCAAGCCGCCCAGATTTCCCGGCTGGACCGGCGACTAACATTGACCTTATAACACCCGATGACGGCACTAACAACCTTAACGACATCTCAACTCAACTAACGGATACAACTGTAACATCGTCACCAACCTCACCAATAACATCCTCACCGTCATCATCCTCATCACACTCACCATCTCCACCAACTAACCGTTATAATTTGTAAGTTTTCATTTGTTTTTATCGACTTTCATCTGAAAATTAGAAACGTCTCAATAATATCAAGTTAACGTTCTAATGAGCTTTCGTTGAAATTGCTCATAGTAGAATAAGTTCGATTAAACTGCGCATTAAAAAATGCTCAAAAGCTGAAATCGCTAATTGCGAATGATGGGGTGATGTGTTCGCAAACAAAAAGGAATCGATATATCACTGTTGGTTTCGAGGAATTTTGGAAAGTTTGAAGTCAACAAGGAATGAGTAGTCTATAATTTGTTCGATTGATTTCAGCCGTCATCCTCGCCGTGAGGCGAGTCCAATAACCCTACGTATTAACCCGCAATTTAAAGCCGCTAACACATCAACACTAACCGCACAACATGCAGCCGAGTTGGCGACTACAATACCAACACCTTATAAACTCATCAATAACAAAGTTTGTAAGTATTTCACTTATTGCATATTTGATTTCAATGGTAATTTGATCAGGTGATGTTGAATGCTTGCAGTGCGGATTCAGCCAGATAAATGCGTAGTTCTCTATTCATATTACGTTGCTTAATTGTGATAGGTTAAGAATATAGAAGGAATATATTCATTAATGTGATGTAAGTAGTAATTTGTAAGTAGATGATCGATACATTTTTCATTATCGACTAATTTCAGATTGCCAACTGTCGGGCTGCTCCAGGCGCGCTGCCCCCTTTGCTACGGTGGCCGCCTGGAAAATTCACGTAAGGCGAGCCCAATGTCACAACACTAACAGTATGTTTTCGAAGATTTTTTTTATCTTCTCAAAATTATTCTTTATTTATTGAGATTGGGTTCATTTTCATAACCTTAACTATTCAAATCAGTAATTATTCGAATTTCTGATCTGTAGTGATACTAATTCGATGACAATAGTCGCTCAAACAATTTGATAAACTCAGCATTGATTACGAGAATTTCCGAATTCATATGAATGCGGAATCGTCTCAAATCATCAGAGCAACGAATTCGTTTCATCTGAATTCAATACTGTTCAATTATTGAATTGAATATTTGAAAAAATTTTTTTTGACTTTACTTTTTAACTTTTAGCACTCTGCACATGGTGTGGGCACACCGTGATCGTGCCCCAAGGCCTCTCGGCGCGGCAGATAACAATATATATGGACTCACACCGCGCCGAGAGGTGTGTTGCAGCGCCAAGGAAGGCCGTGGCGAAGAGGATGGACACCGCCGAGCGACTCCGGGAGCTCGGCCGCGATTCATCATTTATCGCGGTCCCCGGGGAAACCTCGGCGGTCGGGGTTGAAAGAAAGAGAAGAAGGACCATGTGAGAGGATCACTAACGGAAACTAACGGATGACATCAGCTAACAAGATCAACTAACGTCACAATCTAACGTCCACAATTAACTCCGACAGCAACAGTCGAGTCAACGACGTTAACACCGTCATGAAGCGGCAATCAACATTCAACTGGCAGCATCGGTTCCAAAACGTGAGGCAATTTTTCATCAGTGAATTCTGTATCGACAGCATATTTATGTCAAGTAATGCGCGCATCATATTAGAACACGGTATATCTTATTGATTCATTTCAGGTAATCAGCTCTCAGAGACACTGGCAAAAACATCGCGATTGGAATCAACAGTTATCACAGAATCGTGACATCCTTCAGACAGCGATGTCAGCAAAGGCCCACCACGTCAGCAACTCATCAGTTATTCTTCACAACAGAGGTACAGACTTTATTTGATTTAACTTAACTTGTATAGGTATTATTGTTATTTATAATTTCTATAGGTATTTCTATGGGTATACTACTAGGCTTTTAGTTTTATGGCTATTGTTATAACGGCTTTAATTGTATACGTGTCATTGTTAGCAGGAGGCGAGTACATTATGGACGATTCAAGGCAGCTGGAGACGTTACAAATATCAAAAAAAAATCATTAAAAATATTCTACATTCAACAATTATCTCATCACATCACACATCGATTCATCATCATCGTCAAGGCATTCCGATCTCATTATGTAATTCATCCCACCAGAGAGATAGGTTCCTATTGATTTCAATATGACTTCATTTGATGAGAAAACTATCGGGAGAAATCCATGAAACATTACAAAGATTTTATTTCTGTAGGATGCGTTCAGAGACGTTAAGTGGCAAAATTTTAGGTATTATGAAGTGAGCATGAGCTCAGTGTTATTTGCTGTTATCGTTCATTTTGTCATTTTAATCTTTTTTTTCGCTTATTATCGTCATTGACGATATTACTTTCATTATGGCATAATATCATTGTATATGTAGCTTGCTGTTCTCATCGCATTGTATGTCTGATCATGCATGACATTCAATAGAATTTTACATGAGCCAATCAGAGAATACATCTTAATAATGATCATGACCATATTCACTTCTCTACGATCACTGATATTGATCTGCCTATTATTCCAAAATTCATTCAGTTCGAATTTTGCTCAAACGTTTCAAGCCGTCATTCCCATCAACCGAAAGTAATCGTGTCTTATATACCCAATCGACATTGACCTCATAATTCAAATGCACTAATGAGTGCTCGGGTTCAGTAAAAATTTAATTTGATGAACGCCCAACAAAAATCCTCAAGCATAATTTTTGGGCTTTTCCTTAAAGAGAATGGGAGTCATTTGGCGGACATGCCAGCTCCCAAGCGCCGATAGTGAAGGTATTGAATTAATAATATTTTAATTACACATTCGGGGCACTTCACTGGCGCTGTGGGTCAGGGTTGTTGTTTACTGAACCCGTGGGTCAGGACTGGTTTGCTGTCAATCACGGTTAATGGGTAATGAACCCATGCGGGTGAGGGTT